AAAAAAATATAATTAAACACTAAAAACTGGGTTATTTGACAGGGTAACAAATATATTCCTCTAGCTGTCATTAATGCTGCAGTTATTTTCAAATTATATGACTACCAATCAATACGTTTGTAGAGACTATGTTTACAATCACATTTCAGTTTTTGAATATCAACAAAATACATGAATCTTAGAAGAAAATCACAGGTACCTTCTGCCAATCCCTGCCTTGCTCGCTGTCTTCTGGCTTCATCTGAATCTTTATGAAGCATATTGCTAAAATTACAAATTAAAAATACAGGTGTTTGTTCTATCAGTCCGTTGCCAAAACTTGCACAATAATTTATTGAGTAAACTATGGTTTTTAAACTTTTATAACTACATGCAACCAACTATTTAATATAACCATTAGCCACATTTCTTATACATGTAATAAAAGTGACGGACAACAGTTTCAAATACATTTGTAAAACCACATTTCCCAGTTGGAGGACTCAGAATTGATGATGAAGTCAAACTGTTATCTTTTATTTGAGATCCTATATGATGAGGCTGGAAATTTCACAAATCAGGTTAAGTTAATGCTGTCTAAAAGTTCAAAACAACAGCTCCTACCCATCAAGTGCAAAGTGAATTGCCAACTGATCCACACTGGATGTTGGCTTGTAACATTTTTCCTGCAAAAAGTGGGAAAGAATCAGAATATATTTATACTAATTAACGACAATGCACTTCAAGAAAATAGCAGATTGGAAATATCAAGGATACAGAATGTCGTTCTAAACTTTTAAAGCAAAATATCCAGCAGAACAGTCCATAATTCATGCAGTAGATATGATGATACAAAAGAAAAGACTCTCTTACTAGTCTGCTACATAGAAAAAGACATAAGAGATTATGACATCTTCTGCTAATCTACAGATCATCTTCAGATTATCTTAAAATATTCAGAACCAGAATGTCTGTGAAAATATACATGTATCATTCTGTATAACATGTTGCAGTTCTACAAATACTTGAACTGGCTGTAATCAGTTCAAAGACCAATTTGTTGAATCTGCAGACAGATTCAGTAGAAAGATTTAACTGTGAACAGTAGAAAATTATTGAACTGTCACCAACTGAAAACCAATCACTATACATGCTTATACAATGTGGACAATGTCTCTCAAAAGCCAAAAATACCAGACAGAAAACCCAAAATAAATGAGACTGAAATTCTTGCTATGCAGTTAAGCCTATTAATGTCTCGTCTGGTGGCTTATTATTATTGTTGCATATATATTAGGTAAACATGACCATAATATAGATAGATAGATAGATAGATAGATAGATAGATAGATAGATAGATAGATAGATAGATAGATAGATAGANCTCTCTTACTAGTCTGCTACATAGAAAAAGACATAAGAGATTATGACATCTTCTGCTAATCTACAGATCATCTTCAGATTATCTTAAAATATTCAGAACCAGAATGTCTGTGAAAAACATACTTGTATCTGTATAACATGTTGCAGTTCTACAAATACTTGAACTGGCTGTAATCAGTTCAAAGACCAATTTGTTGAATCTGCAGACAGATTCAGTAGAAAGATTTAACTGTGAACAGTAGAAAATTATTGAACTGTCACCAACTGAAAACCAATCATTATACATGCTTATACAATGTGGACACTGTCCTCACAAGCCAAAAATTCCAGACAGAAAACCCAAAATAAATGAGACTGGAATTCTTGCTATGCAGTTAAGCCTATTAATGCCTAATGTCTGGTGGCTTATTATTATTGTTGCATATATACTAGGTAAACACGACCATAATACATATATATAACCACTTTTGTCTGATATTTTTATTTAATATTGATTTTTATCATAGAATTAATGATATTTTTGATCTGGTATACTGTATAATTACGTATTTTTTAAATTTTAACTTTTTTAAATTGGGTTTATAAAATCCCTCTTGCCTTTCCAGTGACCCTCTTTGAGATCAGTGTATGGATATTTCAGTCTAAAACTACTCAATTTAAGAGGCTGTGGATCAGAGATAAAACGAGATTGAATAAATTACAAATAACTAATTTTAATTAGTTATTTATAATTAGTAATTTTAATTAGCATCAGTCTTTAAAAAAATTGATGCTAAATTTCTGCTACGAAAGTAATTTCCCTTTAAAACTTACTTAACACTGGAACAGCATACCTGTAGTAAATGACTGCATGGTCATATTTCTAGAAAAAAAAACTCTTAAATTACCTTGAAGCTGTATCGCACAATGTTGCTTGGGGCATGAGGGTTGTTAGCAGTCAGAATTCTTGTAAACTCTTCCTTTAACTCTGCCTCAGTCAGTTCCAGTTGGTCATCTGGCTTGATAAGCTGCTTTGGCTAAAAATACAATTTATTTTAACACTGATAAGCCTGAACATGGTCCTTTCCAGTAGAGAGCATTGAAGTACCTGCAGTCTTTACAAAACCATTTACATTGTACAATAATGTCATTAGGTCACTGTAGTAATTTACTAGCGCACAACAACATTGTTTACCCTGACTCACAGTGATAGACAACTAATCACAGCTATTTTTCGGGCAAAAAAGTGGTAGCTTGCAATTGAGGTTGTGTGCATTTAACAACTTGAAATAAATACTGATTCCTTAAACCAATGAACCAATATTTTTTATTCCACTCAGGTTTCTTTCCTATATTGAATTTTTGTAACAAGTTAATTTTGTGATTTTGGTTTTTCTGAGAACAACATTTGCCAACAGTAATTAAATGTCATTAATTAAATTTAAGAATTTGTTCACACAATAAATTTGAGGCCAAGGAAATGTTTGCCATAAGGTTTAATTTGTAACTACCTGCATCCACTCATCCATGTCCTCTCCAATCTGTGTAGCGTCATCATCTTCCTGGAAAATACAACGANATTTTTATCATAGAATTAATGATATTTTTGATCTGGTATACTGTATAATTACATATTTTTTAAATTTTAACTTTTTTAAATTGGGTTTACAAAATCCCTCTTGCCTTTCCAGTGACCCTCTTTGAGATTAGTGTATGGATATTTCAGTCTTAAATTACCTTGAAGCTGTATCGCACAATGTTGCTTGGGGCATGAGGGTTGTTAGCAGTCAGAATTCTTGTAAACTCTTCCTTTAACTCTGCCTCAGTCAGTTCCAGTTGGTCATCTGGCTTGATAAGCTGCTTTGGCTAAAAACATAATTTATTTTAACACTGATAAGCCTGAACATGGTCCTTTCCAGTAGAGAGCATTGAAGTACTTGCAGTCTTTACAAAACCATTTACAACAATGTCATTAAGTCACTGTAGTAATTTACTAGTGCACGACAACATTGTTTACCCTGACTCACAGTGATAACTAATCACAGCTAGTTTTTGGGCAAAAAAGTGGTAGCTTGCAATTGAGGTTGTGTGCATTTAACAACTTGATATAAATATTGATTCCTTAAACCAACGAACCAATATTTTTTACTCCACTCAGCTTTCTTTCCTATGTTGAATTTTTGTAACAAGTTAATTTTGTGATTTTGGTTTTTCTGAGAACATTACATTTGCCGACAATAATTAAATGTCATTAATTAAATTTAAGAATTTGTTCACGCAATAAATTTGAGGCCAAGGAAATGTTTGCCAAAAGGTTTAATTTGTAACTACCTGCATCCACTCATCCATGTCCTCTCCAATCTGTGTAGCGTCATCATCTTCCTGGAAAATACAACGATTGCTCACATAAAGCTTGATCAATATTTACAGTTCACTATACTTTCAATATTGCATTACCATAAACTCTTAAACTCAGGAAAGGCTAAGTTATATTTTATTGGATGAGGGTTTTCATGATAACCAGAATAATCAAGCTTAAGGACAAGGTACAAGTAACAGTTATCGCCTGGAGGCTGACACTGATAACACTCGCAGACCTACTGTAAACAATTCCAGATATCACGAAAAATGGAATTCAATAATAGTTGTAGTATACAATGTACATGTACATTGTTGCAGAGAACTGAGAACATACATGTACATGTAAATAAAAAAAAATAAAATAAATTGCAGTATTTAGAGAGGAAGCCACTGACATCAGCCTTAGCAGCTTTTCATGGCGGTCCTCTTAGAGGACCCGCATGAAATCCATCTAAGGCTGATGTGCTTTATCCTGGTTGAATTGGAATTTGGAGATGTTGGTTTTTGAGGAGGAAGGAAAACCGGAGAACCCGAAGAAAAACCCTCGGAGCAAGGTGAGAACCAACAACAAACTCAACCCACAATATGTCAACGGGCCAAAATTGAACCCAGGCTACATTTATTTGGTGGGAAGTGAGCACTTTCACCACTGTACCATCCTTGTTCCAGCCCTGTAACTTACATTCAGTCATGGGTGAAACCAGTTTAGACTTCAGGAAAACCAAATTGAGCTTTAATAAACTGCTAATAAAAAATTTTGTCTTCCCCCAACTTTGATTGATGATTCTTGTTGATGTTTGCTACTTCCATGGATTTTGCCTATTTGCTGCATCTCGACACTTTCCCTATTTTATTTTGTAGTCAATGAGTCAGAAATGTGATCAAAACAGAAAAATATGTGTTAGTTATGACAATACCTTTTTCTTTGCTTTAACAGCAGCTGTTTTGCTGACTGACTTGACAACCGGATTTGAAGCAGTAACCGCAGGCTTCTTATCCTGATAAGATATAATATGCAGGTCATCACACATTCTGCACCTCTTATTAAATGAACTTCAGCAGTCCATATTATAAGCTTCTCTCCCTCTCCCATGTAACAGTAATTTCATGGTCCAAGCATAAAGTGCAAAGGGTCAGAAAAGGAAGAGAGGGAAAAATATAGATCCAGGTAATTTATATACTACTGTAGGTTGTGTTACTGCGAAAGTCAAAAAGCCATGAACACTCTGATTTGATTTTGTCATGTTGATTGTGTAGCCACCAATAAGATGCTACACAATTGACATGTCAAAATCAAATCAAAGTGTTCACAGCTTTTTGACTTTGACAGAAATTGGCCAAGACCAATCTGTGATTAAAATTTTGAGTCTTATGAGCTGACTGTTCAATTTGCATTCTATACTGTAAGTTATATGCACCATAAAAATTACTTGACAATTACATGTAAACACAAATCACAAAGCAAAATATTTGCAGGTGTGAGAAACAATAATGCAAGTACGAAATATCTTTAAAAAGAGTTGTTACATGTATGAACATAATAACTAGGGAAAGAGTTCAATACAAAGAAAGAGATCTGCAAAGAAGCCCGGGAGGGGGGGGGGGGGGGGGGTGACCATTTTGGTATTAAATAGGGTGTGGTTTTTGTACTCTATTCTTAAATTGGGTATGTTGTTTAGAGGAAGCTACTTTTTCATCATTATTGATAAGACCATAAGCAAAAGCCCTTGAAAAAATTATGTCTAGGGCAACTGTGTCAGCCGCAATGGTCATAAACTGGGTATCAAACTTTTGGTCTGGTCATAAATAGGGTAGGTAAAATTGCAGATTTTGGTCATAAATAGGGTAAGGGTTTTGGGAAGCCAACTGCACACCCCCACCCAATTTTTGTGAGAGTACCCCCCTGCCCCCAGGCAAAGAAGTCTTCTCTAGTACTTAGATACAAGGCTCTGCTCTAACAACATCCAGTTACAGTACCTGAAGCCACTGGCTTAATCATGACATGTGCAGTGACATTGAAAAACTGGCTGATCACCTGGCCAGGCAATTTAAATGTTCAGTTTTTAATGGTGTCTGGTCATTTAGCTCCCAATTTGATTAGCCCCTAACCATTTAGCACCCAACCAGCAGTCAAAAACATGGTCTATTTTTCATTCTTTAAGCATGAATGGGGGCTAAGTGACTTCTGGTTGGGGGCTTACCGGCTAAGGGCCAATCTACTTAGGGACCTAATGACTGGTAACCATTTTAACATCAGTATTGCAAAGGTCATAGGTTCAAATTATGTCAAAGTCTGGAATCTTTCAGACTTTCATTAAACAAAGAACTTCTCTGATTTACATGTACAAATTGTCTCTTCCCCACATGTATTGTGAAAGTTATTAACTACAGACGTCTTAAATGGTAATTACTTATTTAATGAATGGGTAAATACAATATTTAAACCCTGTGTGCACCTTACAGACGTAAGTAGGACACAAAATTATTTAGATGACAAGTTAACTCAAGCTTCTTACATGTACAGTGGCTCAAACGACGATTTGACAGTTAAGCTGCAGAAAAACTTATGTCATTTGTATTTTTCTACCAACAGATGAACGTCCTGCTGTCTATACCGAAGAAACGCATTACTTTACAAGATTTGAATCTCACGATCGTTGAAAATACTAAATTCAGCTGTTAGCAAACTACATTCAAGACACATGTATTCGCAACCAAGCAAGAAAACAAACATGGCGGACGGCAAAAGAAAGCAGACAATTCAGCTTAATTAGAATGGAAAAAAACTCACCGCCTTCGCGGCTTTTACATTTCCTTTCTTCATATCCTTGTAAATGTAGCCAAGTGTTTCTTTATCGTAGTAAAAACTGCAAAAATCAGACACTGCAAAGTACAAAATATACGCAGCTCTTGAAAAGCTTGAAAAGTTCGTGTTGCCCTGGTAACAGGCCTAGGCTACCAAGCTCAGGCGAGGCTACAAAGCAGCAACATGGCGGACGCTGTGGAAGGTTCGAGTTCTGAAAAGGATTGCACTGACAAGAGTTTCTCCGACAGAGATTCGTCCGACGAGAGCACAGACTTTAAAGCTGATCGTACTTTCTCTTCGGAAAATCAGAAATCATTACGGGATCCGAAGTTGGCCGGATCGACGCTCCATAATGGAAAGAAGAAACAAAATGCGATCGCCAAACAGGCATGGAAAAGACGATTTCGTTACTTGTCTTTCAAGCACTTTTTGCGTCACACGAAGGCGGTAAATGATAGACAAACAGGTGGAGATCTTTCTCCCAGAGATAATAAGAAACAAGAAGAAGAATCAGATGGTTTTTATGCAGATGACAAAGGGTATTTACAGGGTGAGATCTACGATCAACTGGAAAATGGCGAAGAAATTGGCTTTACGGGTGATGTCAGTAGAAAATTGAATCTGATGCCTCCTGTCATTGGTCAGGACAGAACTTCTGAAGATGCTGAACTTTTAAGGACTGACTTTCAGTCAGATAGTGACAATCCGGAGATAATTGTTGTTCCTTGTGCGCAATTTGTTCGTGAAATTTCAAGTGGAAACTAGAAATATAAAGTACACGTAGCTCATATTTTGAGCGTGGTCAGATCTCTTCTCTGCAAGCAAGGCTCTCGATTTTTACACTTATCTTCCCAACGAAAAGTAAAGGGAATTCTTCTCCTGGGGTACCGTAACTAAATTCTCCCGTTTAAATCTGTGATGACTTTACTTAAAAGTAAAGTTACCTCAAATTTTATGTTCTGTATACTGTAAGTTTTTCCATATCGAACCTCCGATTGCGACCACCTCTTGAACACGACCACCTCTCCTCGGCGACCAGTTTTCCAAAATACCAAAAGTTTCCGAGTCAAATCACTATATTTGGAACCTCTTGTAAGCGACCACCTCTCGTAAGCGATCGCGACCACTTTTAGAGCTGAAAGTTTCAGTGTAGTTTTCCATTTGTTTTAACCTCCATTAGCAAAGACTGGACAGATTATACATCATCGCATTACTGGGCCAGTACAGGAGACGGACATTTTCTCGAAAGGAAGTACCGGATTTTTTCTCGAAATTGACTTTTCACATGAATAAGACATTTAAAACATGGGATAAATCTCTGCGGTTATCATATGCTAAGGAGGCAAAATTTTGACCCAATGTGGTCTAAGCTCCAGTAAGCAACCTCCTAGGCTTGACATTTTGGGTGGTCGCTTGAAAAGAACCCCTGAGAGTCCTAAGAGCATTTCCGGTTCTGTTTTCTAACAAACTGCTGCTGGTTTAGCAAAATATCCTCTCTTCAGGCGATTCAATTGAGC